GGTGGAGCCTCATACTTATAGGAAAACAACTACTTCCCTGCTCACTCCACTAAAACAACTGCACTGGCTACCAGTCAGCTTCTGGGCACAATTCGAAGTGCTGGAAAACTTGGGCCCAATCTACATAAAAGACCGCATCTCCCTCTATGAACCTGCATGAACCCTGAGATCAACAGGAGAGGCCCTTCTCTGAGTCCCACCGCCATCGCAAATATGATTGGTGGGAATGAGAAAGAGGGCCTTCTCGGTGGATGTTCCACAGCTCTGGAACTCCCAAAAGACATCAGAATGGCCCCCTCCCTACTAACTTTCGGGAACCAGATAATTTTTTTTCTTTGGAATCAGGCCTTTAATGAAGATTATTATAAGAGTGATAGGCACCATAGTAACATCTGGGGTTGACCTTTTCTGTGCAATACCTTATGGACAAGTAGCAATGGGAAGGATAAAAGCTTCTGTTTATGTTTATTTAGTTTTAACTATACCTAAAGTACTAATTTTATTTTAATCTGTAATGTGTTTTATTAAGGTTTAATTGTCTTATGTTTTAATAGTTATTATTGGCTATGTTTATTTCCTTTTTGTCCTAATGGACCTGTAAGTTATATACCTTGTTGTTAGTTGCTTTGATATAAATTAATAAATAATAATAATAATAATAATAATCATCATCATCATAAATTAGACCCACTCGAGACTTTGCAAGTTGCTGCAAGGGGTCATATTTTGTAAGCTACTGCTCTAGTAGAGCTGGGCATTTCTCCTGACCTGGAACTGCATCCACCAAAAATAGTGAACTTCTATTTTTCTCTCCTGTTTAGTAGAGCCACTATGGTGTAGTGATTTGAGCAGTGGACTACAGCTGCACTTACACTGTAGAATTAATGCAGTTTGACATCACTTGAACTGCCATGGCTTACTGCTATGAAATCATGAGGCTTGTGGTTTTACAAGCTGGTCCCTCACCAAGCTACAACTCCCAAGGATCTCACAGCATTGAGCCATGGTAGTTCTAGTGGTTTCTAACTGTGTAGATGCACCCAGAGAAAACAACTTGAAGGTTCTGGCAAAGATTATTTGCAAAACCACATCTCTATTAACAAACCAGCATGGACACTGTGGTCAGCGGAGGATGCCCTGCTCTCAGCCAAACCCCGTCTCAAGCGCGACTGGTGGGGACAAGAGATGGGGCCTTCTTTGTGATTGCTCTCCTCACCCCTGGAACTCCCTCTCTAAAGAATTAAAAACACTCCCCTCTCTCCTCTCCTTTAAGAAGTTTTTAAAAACCCAGTTATGTACTTTGGCTTACAGAGAGGAAGAGGAATAGTACATCTTTATACATATTATTGTTTACATACTGAAATCCCACCTCAGTCTTGTTGGTTGCCGAAAGTCATTCCATATTTTAATGCTTTTTAACTGCCAGTTTAATTATGTGATAAATATTTTGTGATGAATTTATTTATTTATTTACTGACTATATTTATATACCACCTTTCTCACGCCTGAGGGGAGTGAGAAAGGGGATATGTATCATATTTTGTTTATCTAAGATGTTAATTTTGATAATTTTTCATTCTTCTAGGGATTAACTATTATAAGTTTTATACTGTGGTTGCTCTTATTTATTGTTTAGAGTTTATCTGGTGTAATAATAATAATAGTAATAGTAATAATAGTAATAATAATAATAATAATATAAAACTTTATTTGTATTCAGCCCTATCTCCCTGAGGGGACTCAGGGCGGATTCCAGCATAACAATGGCAAACATTCAATGCCTTTATAAAGTATACGATATTAACATAAAGTTCCAGAAAACGCACACATATAAAAGTAACATTAAAGCTTAACATCAAATTAAGTCCTAACATCAGTAAATTCAACCTGACATCAATCAATTTAACTACATGTAATCAGACAAAATTCTATAATAATATAAATCTAAACAAAACATCCACATTAGTGTACAAAAGCCAGCAGGGTTCACAAAATGGTGTGAGTTGGTTATGTAGTCAAATTAGGTCATTGGGCTGTCGTGTTTGTGCTATTGGAATTGAATGTTTGCCTCTTTTATTATTATTTATTATTAAACTAGCCATCTACTGCCATGCGATGCTGTGGCCCAGTCTGTGTATATGTGTTTTGTGTGTGCATATGTGTGTATATGTGTGTGTTTGCGTATATATATGTGATTTTGTGCATGCATTGTAATGTAATTTTTGGATTTTTTTGCTTTTTAAATCTCTTCTGCTGTGTTTTTCAGTGATTTATGAGTGATGGTCACTCATTGGTCTGATAGGTGTATTGGGTCCAGATTTGGTGTCAATTCGTCCAGTGGTTTTTGAGTTATGTTAATCCCACAAACGAACATTACATTTTGATTTATATAGATAGAGTCCCGGTGGCGCAATGGGTTAAACCCTTGTGCTGGCAGGAATGAAGACCGACAGGTAGGAGGTTTGAATCTGAGGAGAGTGCGGATGAGCTCCCTCTGTCAGCTCCAGCTCCCCATGTGGGGACATGAGAAAAGCCTCCCAAAAGGATGGTAAAACATCAAAACATCTGGGTAACATCCTTACAGATGGCCAATTCTCTCACACCAGAAGCGACTTGCAGTTTCACAAGTCGTTCCTGACACGAAAATAATAATATAAAAATAATTAAATACCCTGAGTCTCCCAGGGGAGATAGAGCAGGTTATTATTATTATTATTATTATTATTATTATTATGGTATTACTATTAAATGGCTCAACAACAAACCCCTAAAAACTGGAGAGAATAAGGCCCCATCTACACTGCTATATAATCTAGTTTCTGAATGTGGATTAACTGCACTGGACTAGATTATGTGGCAGTATGGAGTGAGAGATGGGCCAAAACTAACAAAATGAAGTTCAACAGGGACAAATGCAAGATACTCCACTTAGGCAGAAAAAACGAAATGCAAAGATACAGAATGGGGGACAATGCCTGGCTTGAGAGCAGTATGTGTGAAAAAGATCTTGGGAGTTTTTGTGGACAACAAGATAAACATGAGCCAACAATGTGATACGGCAGCAAAAAAAGCCAATGGGATAGGAGCATAGTGTCTAGATCTAGGGAAGTAATGCTGCCCCTCTATTCCGCCTTGGTTAGCCCACACCTGGAATATTGTGTCCAATTCTGGGCACCACAATTCAAGAGAGGTATTGACAAGCTGGAATGTGTCCAGAGGAGAGTGACTGAAATGATCATGGGCAGGGCTCCTCAAACATTTTAAACTGAGGGCCAGGTCACAGTCCCTCAAACTGTTGGAGGGCCGGATTATAATTTGAAAATACATGAATGAATTCCTATGCACACTGCACATATTTGTAGTGCAAAAAACCCCCCACTTAAATATAAAATAATTAAAATGAAGAAATTTTTTAACAAATATAAACTAATTAATATTTCAATGGGAATTGTGGGCCTGCTTTTGGCTGATGAGTTTTTGTTGTTGTTGTGTGCTTTCCAGTAGTTTCAGATTTAGGTTGACCCTGAGTGAGGGCCGAGTAAACGACCTTTGAGGGCTGCATCCGGCCCTCGGGCCTTATTTTGAGGACCCCTGATCAAGGGTCTGGAGAACAAGCCCTATGAGGAGCGGCTTAAAGAGCTGGGCATGTTTAGCCTGAAGAAGAGAAGGCTGAGAGGAGACGTGATGAGGGCCATGTATAAATATGTGAGAGGAAGTCACAGGGAGGAGGGAGCAAGCTTGTTTTCTGCTTCCCTGGAGACTAGGACAGGGAACAATGGCTTCAAACTACAAGAAAGGAGATTCCATCTGAACATGAGGAAGAACTTCCTGACTGTGAGAGCCGTTCAGCAGTGGAACTCTCTGCCCCGGAGTGTGGTGGAGGCTCCTTCTTTGGAAGCTTTTAAACAGAGGCCATCTGTCAGGGGTGATTTGAATGCAATATTCCTGCTTCTTGGCAGGGGGTTGGACTGGATGGCCCATGAGGTCTCTTCCAACTCTTTGATTCTATGATTCTATGAAAGGAGATTCCATCTGAACATGAGGAAGAACTTCCTGACTGTGAGAGCCGTTCAGCAGTGGAACTCTCTGCCCCGGAGTGTGGTGGAGGCTCCTTCTTTGGAAGCTTTTAAACAGAGGCTGGATGGCCATCTGTCAGGGGTGATTTGAATGCAATATTCTTGCTTCTTGGCAGGGGGTTGGACTGGATGGCCCATGAGGTCTCTTCCAACTCTTTGATTCTATGATTCTATGAAAGGAGATTCCATCTGAACATGAGGAAGAACTTCCTGACTGTGAGAGCTGTTCAGCAGTGGAACTCTCTGCCCCGGAGTGTGGTGGAGGCTCTTCTTTGGAAGCTTTTAAACAGAGGCTGGATGGCCATCTGTCAGGGGTGATTTGAATGCAATATTCCTGCTTCTTGGCAGGGGGTTGGACTGGATGGCCCATGAGGTCTCTTCCAACTCTTTGATTCTATGATTCTACGAAAGGAGATTCCATCTGAACATGAGGAAGAACTTCCTGACTGTGAGAGCCGTTCAGCAGTGGAACTCTCTGCCCCGGAAGTGTGGTGGAGGCTCCTTCTTTGGAAGCTTTTAAACAGAGGCTGGATGGACATCTGTCAGGGGCGATTTGAATGCAATATTCCTGCTTCTTGGCAGGGGCTTGGACTGGATGGCCCATGAGGTCTCTTCCAACTCTAGGATTCTATGATTCTACCTGCCAGAAGAGCTCTGACAGCTAAATGAGCTGTCAAAATGATCTCTTCTGGCAGGCCTACCGTCCCAGTCAACTTTCAATTTGATTTGATTCACATTCTATTCAACTCTGTATATGTGTTTGGGTTATTGTTGTTGTTGTTGTTACATAATGCAGTTCAATGTGGTTCAATCTGAATGACGTGACTGAACTCGATTACACGGCAGTGTAGATGGGGCTTAAGAGTGCCTGAGGAGAGCACGCCCGCTCCCTTCGCGATCCCGAGAGGGCTGGGGAAGCTTTACCTGAGCCAGGACTGTCAAGAAGCCTCCAGGGCCCCCTCGCCACCTTCGGAAAGAAGCGTCCAACAAGGCGGCCCCTCCGATGAGGGAGGAGGCGGCGGCAGCAGCCAGCCAAGGTCCCGCTCCATGCCTGCGGACCCGGGCAGCACTCAGCCCGGCCGCCCCTCGCTTGGCGGAGCCCCTGGCAACCGCCGCCAAAGCCGCTCGCCCGGCCGCCGCCATTTTCCCGGAAGTAGCCGGGTCGGAGGAACATCTATCGGGAATCATAGACTAAAATTAGAGTCCCTCACGGCCCGCTTATGCCCGACTTCCGGGTTCCCGTAAGACTGAGAGCTAGGCATAGAAAGGAGGATATGAAGAAATGCAAGCCAATGAAGCTTAACATACCACTTCAGTGGTCACTTCTTTCTCTGCTTTTCACTATGGAATTAATGATATTGAAATTCACAAATCAGTTTCCCAATGTGCATATATATAATTGGTTCTCAACCTGGGGTCCCCAGATGTTTTTGGCCTACAATTCCCAGATATCCCAGTCAGTTTACCAGCTGTTAGGATTTCTGGGAGTTGAATGCTAAAAACATCTGGGGACCCCAGGTTGAGAACCACTGAATATATATATATATATATATATACACACATACACACACACACTCACACTCACACTCACACTCACACCAGGCCTGGGCAAATTTGGGCCCTCCAGGTGTTTTGGACTTCAACTCCCACAATTCCTAACAGCCTACGGCTGTTAGGAATTGTGGGAGTTGAAGTCCAAAACACCTGGAGGGCCCAAGTTTGCCCAGGCCTGCTCTATGGAAATGGATTTTGATTCTGTTCTTATTGCTGCTGTTTAATATGTTTTAATGAGTCTCTTATGTTATTACTTTATATGATTTATTTTTTTATACTATTTAATTGCGTTTACTCAATTTATTGTACTGTATGACATTGGATATTTGCTTTTCCCTGTTGTAAGCCGTCCTGAGTCTCCATGTGGAGATGGGGTGGGGTATAAGTAAAGTTTGTTGTGGTTGTTGACAAAATAAATTAAGTTCAAATAGAATAAAAATGTCCGTCGTTCCTTTTATTTATTATTTTTATATATATATTTATTTAGAGCATTTCTATCCCTTCCCTCTCAATCTCCAAAGGGGGACTCAGGAGGAATTACAATTGAAAGGAATGCTTAGAGAAGACAATGATGCTGGGGAAAATGGAAGGAAAAAGGAAGAGGGGCCGACCAAGGGCAAGATGGATGGATGGCATCCTTGAAGTGACTGGACTGACCTTGAAGGAGCTGGGGGTGGTGACGGCCGACAGGGAGCTCTGGCGTGGGCTGGTCCATGAGGTCACGAAGAGTCGGAAACGACTGAACGAATTAACAACAAAGATGCCGACAAAGAAACAGTTAAAGCACAACAATTAACATAAACAAATCAACAGCTATAAAAATACATTAAAAATATTGGCCCTTAAATATTAACACAACCCAGTCTGAGTCCGCAAATCTAAATCATAGTCCAGAGTTCCAGTCCAAGGTCTCTTAATTAACAATTCTCTCAAGTCATTACAGATGTTGCTCAGCCAGCTGCCCGAATGCTTGGTCCCAAAGCCAAGATTTGAGTTTCTTCCTGAAGGGGAGGAGAGAAGAAGTCGCCCTTATTTCACTGGGGAGTGCATTCCACAGACGGGGGACACCACTGAGAAGGCCCTGTCTCTCTTCCCCGCCAATCGCACTTACAAAGGAGGCAGGATCGAGACCAGGGCCTCCCCCGACTATCGTAAACTCCGAGGTGGGTAATAGAGGAAGATACGTTCGGATAATAAACTGGGCCGGAACCATATAGGGCTTTATATCTATTTATTTATTTAGGACATTTATATCCCATTCTATCTCGACCTCCACGGAGAGACTCAGGGTGGCTAACAACAAAAAACATAAATATACATATTAAGTAAAAACAGTATAAAACATTATAAAAACATTTTAAAAAATCACCAATTTAAGTCGTCATTTATAGTTCAAGACCAGCACTTTTACCTTTCCTTTCTGGGTGGATATGCTTCAGTACAACTTCGCCAATAGCCTAAATACAATCCCTAATTTCCTAAATACAATTCTCGAAGGGGTAGCAGCACCATTATAATAATAATAATAATAATTATTATTATTATTATTAATAATAATAATAATAATAATAATAATAGCAGAGCACCTGATGAACCAACCTGGACACAGCATTTTATTTGAGAACACAGAATTGCTGAACCACTCTCACAACCACCATGTCAGACTACACAGAGAAACCATTGAAATCCATAAGCATGTGGACAATTTCAACAGAAAGGAGGAAACCATGAAAATGAACAAAATCTGGCTACCAGTATTAAAAAAAACTCTAAAATTGCAACAGCACAACAACAGAGAGGAAACAAACAAGGACATCTAATCACCTCTCAACAAAGGTTTGCTCCAGGCACTGTCAGGCCATTATATGCTAATCAAGGTGGTCAGTTGAAACATCCGAATGTATTCTCCCCAATGAACCATCAAGATTATTAAGATAGTCTGGAGAGGCCCTGCTCTTGGTCCCACCGGCCTCACAAGTGCGTCTGGTGGGGATGAAGGACAGGGCCTTCTCGGTGGTGGCCCCTCAACTCTGGAACTCTCTCCCACTGGAGATCAGAACCGCCCCTTCTATCCTGACATTCAGGAAACAGGTAAAGACGTGGTTATGGAGACAGGCATTCGACGAGTGAGCCAACACCGTGAGATACAGATGGAGGATGATGAACAAATATTTCAGTGTGACGACTGACCATTGTAGTTATTGAATGTAATGGCTGTTTTAATGTTTTATTGTAATATGAATTATGATGTTTTATTGACTGTATGTGATACTGAGCTGCTGAGCTTGTTGATCGAAAGGTCGCAGGTTCGATTCCGGGGAGCGGCCGGAATCGAACCCTAGCCCTAGCTTCTGCCAACCTAGCAGTTTGAAAACATGCAAATGTGAGTAGATCAATAGGTACCGCTCCGGTGGGAAGGTAACGGCGCTCCATGCAATCATGCCAGCCACATGACCTTGGAGGTGTCTATGGACAACGCTGGCTCTTCGGCTTAGAAATGGAGATGAGCACCACACCCCAGAGTCAGACATGACTGGACTTAATGTCAGGGGACTACCTTACCTTTTTACAATCACAAACCTCAGCGGACTGAAAGCCAAAACCAAGGTTACAACAACATCTGTTATAGAACTCCAGTATGCTGATGACAATGTCGTCTGTGCGCATTCAGAAGAAGATCTACAAGCCACTCTAAACACCTTCGCAGAAGCATACGAGAAGCTCGGCCTGTCATTGAACATTGAGAAAACCAAAGTGCTGTTCCAGCAGTCACCAGCCAATCCCTCTCCAATGCCAGAGATACAGCTTAATGGTGTAACATTAGAAAATGTTGACCATTTCCGCTACCTTGGCAGCCACCTCTCCACCAAAGTCAACATCGACGCCGAAATACAACACCGCCTGAGCTCTGCAAGTGCAGCATTTTCCAGAATGAAGCAGAGAGTGTTTGAGGACCGGGACATCCGTAGGGAGACCAAGGTGCTTGTCTATAAAGCTATTGTCCTCCCAACCCTGCTCTATGCCTGTGAGACGTGGACTGTCTACAGACGTCACATGCAACTCCTGGAACGATTCCATCAGCGCTGCCTCCGGAAAATCCTGCAAATCTCTTGGGAAGACAAGCGGACAAACGTCAGTGTGCTGGAAGAAGCAAAGACCACCAGCATTGAAGCGATGGTCCTCCAACATCAACGTGGCTGGGCCGGTCACGTTGTCCGGATGCCTGACCACCGTCTCCCAAAGCAGTTGCTCTACTCCGAACTTAAGAACGGAAAACGGAACGTTGGTGGACAGGAAAAGAGATTTAAAGATGGGCTCAAAGCCAACCTTAAAAACTCTGGCATAGACACTGAGAACTGGGAAGCCCTGGTCCTTGAGCGCTCCAGCTGGAGGACAGCTGTGACCAGCAGTGCTGCAGAATTTGAGGAGGCACGAGTGGAGGGTGAAAGAGTGAAACGTGCCAGGAGGAAGGCGCGTCAAGCCAACCCCGACCGGGACCGCCTTCCACCTGGAAACCAATGCCCTCACTGTGGAAGAAGATGCAGAGCAAGAATAGGGCTCCACAGCCACATACGGACCCACAGGGAAATCCATAATGGAAGACCATCTTACTCGTTCAACGAGGGATCGCCTAAGTAAGTAAGTAAGTACCTTTACCTTTTTTAAAATGTGATATTATGGTTGGAAACCGGTCTGAGTCCCTCAAGAGAGGTGAGAAGATCGGTATATAAAACTTTTAAATAAATAAATAAATAAACATTCACACCTAGCTCCAGCAAACAAGAGTCCTTTGTCCCACCCTGGTCATTCCACAGATATATAAACCCACTTTCCTAGTTCCAACAGACCTCACTACTTCTGAGGATGCTTGCCATAGATGCAGGCGAAACGTCAGGAGAGAATGCCTCTAGACCATGGCCATACAGCCCGAAAAAACCTACAACAACCCAGTGATTCCGGCCATGAAAGCCTTCGACAGATATTTAAATAGCTACTATTGGATACTTGTGTGTATTAAGTCACCTGCTAATTTATGGCGATTCCATGAATTTCATAGGGTTTTCTCAGGCAAGGAATACACGGAGATGGTTTTGCCAATTCCTTCTCTGAACTGTTGCCTGCAGCTTTCTGGATTTCTCGGCGGTCTCCCACCCAAAGATTAACCGGGGCCGACCATGCTTAGCTTCCTATGCAATCTGGTGTCTTAAGGGTGTCCTACCAAAACACAGCCTCCTTTCCTGCGCATGCGCAGTTTTTAAAGGGGGAAGAGGAGCGCGAGAGGGCCAAGATTTAAATTAACGCCTATCCCAGGCTTGGGCCAACCTGTGTCCTCCAGGTGCTTTAGACTTCAGCTCCCACATCTCCTCACAGCCTCAGGCCCTTCCCATTTCCCTCTCAGCCGCTTAAGCATGGGTTATCCTCAGACTTCCTTTATGTTTAATTATTTTTCAATGTTTTTACCTCAGGTTTAGGGTGGGATTGTTACTGAATAATAAGCCTTGCCTTTTGAGGTAAACACCTCAAAGTCTAAATACTGAAATTGACAAAATACCAATTGTACAAAATACCAAAAACTAATTGACAAAATTAGCTGCTATAAAAACCCCAGAAGTAATGGGAAAGTCTGCACTTGC